TAGCCGTAACTTTTTCATGGGGATGAACTTGCTCCTACACCAGCAACATCCCAGTTCCTACTCAGTTACTCGGACACACCACGGGTCTGCCGTGTGAGGAGCTTGAAACCAGTCGACTCAACATACGAGATTACAGTTTACTTTGCAGGAGGAATTACGTCACGTGTCGAGACTGACTGTAAACATTTTTACCGTAATCGTTAACTGACTTAGAGGGATCCGTGCAGTATATTTGTACAGACTGACTTACATGATCGCTTATGCGTAACATTACAATCATTCAATCGGACGCCTGCCGCTCTACATCATGTAGCCGATTCATAACTACAGCGGACGTCCGATGCCTTCACGCATGGTGAACGAGACACCACGCACCATAGTCCCCTGATATAACAACGGGAACGCTTATGCGAAGCCCAAAAGATGGAAACGATTCCTACGGTACAATCTTTCGGACAAAGTAATTTTTTATATTCAACCTTTCCTACACGATACATTGTTGAATTCTTCTCACGACCGCTCCTCGATACAGAGTGGGTGTGCCTATATGTCTACCAGGGATATGTCATTGGTTCACTGACAACACATTTTCACGTTTCGTCATGTCCCGACACGAGCGGAGAATCAACTAAAGTGGATGAGCTGACTCCATCAGTTGTCGGATGGAAGAGACAAAATGCAGATATCAGGGTACTCTAATCTTGCATCGGACTCAGTGGCAAGATCATCATCCTCCCTTATATATGACAACAGATGGATAAATTCATCCAGTGGACAGTGTTTGCGTTTACGGCGTCCCATATACAAAAATACGCAATGAAAAAAAATAGGACGCAAAAAAAACAACCTTCACCCGTCCCCTTACGCGTTTTTATTTTGAAAAAAGTTCACTTCACACATAACTTATTGTTGTTTTGTTTCGTGTTTCTCTCGTTCCCAAAACCCATGTGATAATGTGTATCCAATATTCGCTGGGTTCCGGTGCAAGCCAGATTTCGGCGGGAACGCGGGAAACTGAGAGGTATCCGATGACGTTTCTCTTCCATGTCGTGTCCGTAATGGCATCACTGATTGGTTTACAAAACGGAAATAGAAACATAAGCCAATCGCAGACCTTGTTAACAGTATTTTGTCAATGTCAAGGACTAAAGTCCAAATGGCATCCCCGAAACTTTGTCAAAAGAAAAATAGGTTTCAAGAAAGTTTGCTTGAAGAGCCAATATACTCTTTCAACACCGTAGGCCGGTAGACCAGCCATGTCGTAGTCACGTCAAAATAAAGGGTAGATCTATATAATTTGATGAACCTACCTGTCATATCATTCATTTATTAAATCAATCACATTTCACAATGTCTAAAATACGTATTCCATTTCAATTTATCATTTTTTATCTAAAGATTAAATGATTCACTACTTCCCGCGATGGTATTGAAAATTTAAATTCTCGGACACACACCTCGACAACGGTCCACATCGAACATGTCAAAGAGCAAAACAAAGACGTTTCAAGCAAATCTTTAAATCTAGTATACAAAGTCATAAATAACATCAACCAAAATATATCTATAAGTTGTCGAAATTACAGCTAAGTTATTATTTCAATCTTTTCGTGCGATCGCGTATAATGTAAATCAAATGACATCTCGGCTTTCGTCGCCTCGATTTCTCAGCTCGGATACGATGTTTCCAATATGCCTGAAAAACCTTTGTCACAGCTCCTAACCTAGAACGATACATCCACGAAGTTCCATGTTTATAATATAGATCGCGAGTTTCCTGCTTGAAACGTTCAGAATAACCCAAAAAAATCGTCAAAATCTTTGATTAAACACGTGCCATTGCTGTAATTTGATTGACAGCCTTAGGTCATGTACTCTAGTTTGACCAATCACCACCCTCTTAGCAGATATCGGCAAGATAGCATGTGACAAACGTACAGCGACGGAAAGACTTGGCGAGCTTAGTGTAGATGAAAAAATAAACTTTCTAATACGAAGCTTCGAAAACGGACGTATTTCTTCATGTTACTGACAGCCGCAGGTATCGAGAAATTGGTGATGACAAATACTATTTACAATTATTTATAAAATACTCTCCCGATCAGGTAAACAATGAAAATAAAAAAGAAATAGGTTAGTGGATTTTATGTTTGTTTATACATTGTATTTGACAAAAATCGTCAAATTTACCCTTCCTTGGTCCTCAATCTGGACGTTTGAATGTGTTAGCTTACATTTGTTTTTATTTACAACTTACTTAAGTTGTAAATGCTTTATTTAAATAATGTGATAAACATAAATATGTATAAACAGTAGGATTAGACCTTTCAAATGGTGTATAACATGTAGTTGCGAAGATGTTTTACTAGACTAACATTTAGTCTATGAAATCTTATATAACACAATACCCTTCTCGACTCTAAAAATAAATATATAATTTCCCCTTTGCTGATTTCCTAGCTAGAGCTGGCTTGACTTGCTTTTGTATACATTTCTAGATTGGTGTTGTTTTCACAAAATATATATATTCCACTGTCATGGTGCAGGACTAATGTTTTACAAGCAGATATTTTCCTTGATAAATGTTGGCTTCATCTATCACACAAGAGTCTCTGGGAACTTGGTGTCACAGCAGATAAAGCTTCTGGTTGACTGGTGTTGAAAGAGTCAAGTGGCTAATCTATGAAGATTTCAAAGATGTCTTGTGTACACACATAAAAACTGAGACTTAAAGATTTTAACCACACACTTGTTTATGCTCAGAATGGCCTAAAGTTCACCATTTCAGGTCCACATTTAACAAAATTTCTTCCCCAAACCCCCCTAGATAGCTTCGCGCCTGCGGCTCGAGGCTACTGCGTCACAGGGGACCCCGTTATTTTGGAACACAACGCAAACACTGAGTGGAGAAGAGGACACAGGATTATTACTAATACAATATCCATCCCTATGATAGCAATTTTTTTCTACTACATCTATGTCAGGAAAATAAGTTCCGACATGGGGGGATTACAGATCGGCTCTTCACTCTGTACTACAACATGACGGACCCTGAATCGGGAACCATCCCATTCTAAACAGACTAATGAGATGCTTTCTACCGGAAGATGTTCACAGAACTCCATGCCTTGGACTTTTCTAGTCTTGCTCATGATCAACACTGGACCTCAATCACTCTAAGATCGCTCCCAGATTTTGTAGCCAAGAATCAATCTACCACCTTGGGGCCGTTGAGTCATAGGCACTGTACCATCCCTGCATTGGAACCAACAGTGGATCGATCACCCAGACAGATTTTATGTCCCATCATAGCTCTCAAGTTTTATCTCTCGGCTACAGAGCCACATAGACGCCATCGAAGGAGACTGTTTATATCTTGCAAGACTCATTCCAACAAGGACATCCCCAAGGCTGACTTAAGGCTACCATTGCAACAGTTATTCACAAGCTCAGAATTCCATGCCACGTCTCGGATTCTGTTCAGCGCATGAAATCAAAGTCCTAGCCACGAGTCTCGCTTCATGAACATCAGTCTCAATAGAACAAGTAGTTTCTAGATGTCAATGGGTCTCACAAAACACCTTCTCCAGTTTTTACTTGCGTGACGTCCAACCGGACCTAGAGGGCATATTTTCCCTTGGTCCTTTAGTGGCGGCGCAAACTATCATCCACCAATGATAGAGGATCTGACACCAGCAGGATCAGAGGATGAGTACACCCTTGATTATTCTGCCTTTTAGGTGTAGGATGGATTAGAAGCACCTTGAGTATCAACTGCTTCTGGTGACTGGAAATGACGTCAGAACTGAAAGAGATAGAACCAGTAGTGACGTAATCACTGGAAATAGCAGTACAAGGTCCATCTAATCAGGAAATGACATCTTTGGTAGAAAATAGACCTTGAGAGACGTCATTACCTAATAAAAGGGAAGTGACAAACCAGAAGTGATGTAACAACTGGAAGTGACGTCAGTGCCGGAAGTGATGTCAGCACCGGTATTAGTGTCACAAATCCAAATTTAACAAGAAATGGCATCTTTAAGCATAAATAGATTAGAAATGACATCATTATTATGATCAAGATCAGCAAATATAACGGTAATTCTAGCGAAGGTATCACAGATTTGACTGATTCTTGACACATTCCTGCTTTTCAAGTCCTCAGGGGGAATTTCAGAGGAAATTATCTCAAGTTAGGATAAGAATCAGTAAATAATGGTTTCCAGAAGAGAATTACTGTCAATTACACAGGGAGTTACTCTAGGCAGATCCTACCGGGTCCATCTGGTATATTCTGGCAGAGATGTTATAGTTTCGTAAGAATTATCAAACAATAGTTATCATTGTTAATAATTCTAAAATAGTACCTCTATTACATCCGAAGTACTCCCTAACACCTCCCCAATTCATCTACATATACATCTAGTAGTTAGATGTGAGGAAAATGTGAGGTTGCCGCCATTGCTTTCATCATAGCTTGGGTGGTTACGATGCTACTTGGCAACTTGGCAAGTTGTGTGTGTAATTGATGTCTGTTGAAAATCTGAAAATTTTAGTTAGTGTGACTGAAGCCAAAATACAGGATTTATGGCAGAGATGTAATAGAGGTAGTATTCTTAGAGTTATTAACAATGATAACTATTGTTCAATATCACTGAAATTTGGTGAACTCATAACAGGTACTTTAGTAAAATGTTCATATCATACATAACATACCATCTGTGATTGATAATTTTAAAAACAATTTTGCAGTTTGGAAGTTTTTGATAAGTAAAAAGAAATATGTTTCTTGGAAAAGCAATGACACCAGTGAGGTACATTTATACGAGGCACTATGACCCACATGTCAGAAGCATTCTGCCCCATAGGTATTCAGGCCTTAAAAAAATCTTCTCTTTGCTACCCTAGATGTTATATATAAATGAGAAACATATTGTAGTATTGAAACAGCGTGGTATTTATGTCTTTTCTTTTTTCCTTTCTCTCCACTGGATGTCAAGATTCAGGTATATATGGTTCTAAACAAGTAGAAAAGTTCTCTTGATGTGATATAATCATCTCCTTAGTTCCACCATGTACCCACCCTGTTGCATAACATACAGCTAACTGCCTGTGTCCATGTGTCTGTGTGTGTGCTTGCCTGCCACCTGCCTCTAGTGACGACTACGTATGTTCTTAGGTGGAAGTGACATGTGCCAAAGATGCATGATACAGCTCACCTGTAAGCATGATGTGCCACAAAATCATAAAAATGTTTAGTCATTAGTAACAGTTAAAATTTGAAAGTCAGTCTAATGTAATAATCAAATTAAGCAGTCATCATCTAGCTGTCCTTTGAATTACATGATGTTTTATCATATGACTTTCATTTGATGATTGCTATGTAGGCGTTTTTGCTCACCTTGGCCAAAGGTCAGTGCGGGTATTTGTCATGGTTTGTCTGATATGCCATCCATATTCCCTCAACTGTTCACATCAGCATCTGGTATGAAAATTTCAGTCTGACATTCAATAATGTTGTTGTAGGAGTTTATTTTATAAATATTTCTTTTCTCAGAAATATTAATTTTTTGTTGACTTAACACGTGCAATATACAAAATGTAAAATAAGACTGTCTTTGTAGTTAGCTGAATTTTTTCGCCTTCGTTTTTTTGCTCACAGTTCAATATTAGGAGCATGCATATTAGTTATTTTGTGCTTTGACTTTGAGTGTTATTTGCCAAATCTAAGATTGAAAATAGGCATTGGAAATTCATATACTATAGCATATTTTTGTGCATGTAGTCCTGAAAGATTCTGACAAATTCATGTTAGACTTAAGGCTAAGGTTTAACTAAGGCTTTATTTGTAACTTTTTTCTGCAGATAGAAAGTCACAAAAACACCTAATTGAGGACTCATTACCAATAGTTATTTAAAAAATTGAATGAAATTGCTGTGTTTAGTTGAGCTGCAGAGCCTGTTGCCTTATTTGTTGTCATATTTCCATTATGTGACATGTGAAAGCACAGTTAACGTGTGTGCTCTTTACTGCAACAGTTGTCTTATGACATAGTTGAGAATAAAAGTGTAAGTTGACAATGCTACAGGTAATTGTGTAGGTGTTAACGTGTTGAGGTAAGTGCTCTCCTCTGCCTGACTCCCCCAGACACTGTCACCATCCTGCAGGCCTACCATGCAAAAGCTGCTACCTTCTGCTGCAATATACATTCTTACACCACTTTTGTTATGATCGATCATATAATACGACAAACAATTATTTATCAAATCTTTATAATTTTAATCAAATTTGCTATTTTAAAGGTCTGGTTATATAATGAAAACTGAAGTGAATTACTGTTTTAGTGTGTGTGATGTTTTGTTTCCATGTTGTGCGTGTGCTGAACATCTCAGCCATCTTGTAAATATGACCATATTTGGACATTATATACATGCTTTCATTGTACAATTGTTCTATTTCAACATTGATGCTGTGGGAATCCATCTTGTACATATTAGAATTTGCATGCTCAAAAGACAGTTGGATCCATTTTGAGGAGTCAAACCTAGTTTAGGGAAGTAGTTTTATGGCTGAGATGTTAGGCACTTTTTTGGTTTGAATCTGCAGAAAGTGTGAAACATGTTTCGACATTGAGGAACGACAGCCTCTTACTGGGCTCGAGAGGTATTTAACATATATCTACTATGTGACTATAGAGTACATTATTATCTCAATTTAGCGAAGGTATTATTAATTAAAAAATGTTTTTATGTGTAATAAGTGGCTTTTGTAGGTATACTGTGGTGAGCTTATATGAACAGTTGAAGTAGTTCTCAAAGGGATATTATAAGTTGTAGCTGTTTCACGACGGGTACATGTGGTTTTATGCGTTTATGAACTTAGAATGACATGCAAATTATGTAGATATTGAACAGTGGATTTGCAGATTTATATTGATGGATAGTGTGATCCTTTCATATGACATATGCCTGTGGCAACTAGGAACTGCTAACAGCTAGCAGATACATTTGTCTGACTATACACAATGAACCTTATGGACAAAATTGCTGTATGTGTTGTGTGTGACACATCAGCCCTGATCTGTGATACTGTGTTATGTGTGAGATCTTTGGTACAATGTTGTGTGTCAGGCATGAGCTCTGATCTGTGATACTGTTGTGTGTGATGCATCCGCCCTGATCTGTGAATAAAGTGATATTTGTGAGGTATCAGCCAGGATCTAGGATATTAAGTGTTGTGTTTGAGGTATCAGCCCTGATCTATGATATAAAGTGTTGTGTGTGAGGCATCAGCCTAGATCTATGATATAAAGTGTTGTGTGTGAGGCACCTGGATCTATGATATAAAGTGTTGTGTGTGAGGTATCAGCCCGGATCTATGATATAAAGTGTTGTGTGTGAAGCACCTGGATCTATGAGATAAAGTGTTGTGTGTGAGGTATCAGCCCAGATCTATGATATAAAGTGTTGTGTTTGAGGCACCTGGATCTATGATATAAAGTGTTGTGTGTGAGGTATCAACCCGGATCTATGATATAAAGTGTTGTGTGTGAGGCACCTGGATCTATGATATAAAGTGTTGTGTGTGAGGTTTCAGCCCAGATCTATGATATAAAGTGTTGTGTTGGAGGCATCTGGATCTATGATATAAAGTGTTGTGTGTGAGGTATCAACCCGGATCTATGATATAAAGTGTTGTGTGTGAGGCACCTGGATCTATGATATAAAGTGTTGTGTGTGAGGTTTCAGCCCAGATCTATGATATAAAGTGTTGTGTTGGAGGCATCTGGATCTATGATATAAAGTGTTGTGTGTGAGGTATCAGCCCGGATCTATGATATCAAGTGTTGTGTGTGAGGCACCTGGATCTATGATATAAAGTGTTGTGTGTGAGGTATCAGCCCAGATCTATGATATAAAGTGTTGTGTGTGAGGCACCTGGATCTATGATATAAAGTGTTGTAAATTAATAAGACCAGTTATCTGTGGATGATGGTCGAAAAATGTTGTATCAGTCCTGGGTCTAGATTTTTGAAACAATCATAGTTATCATTAACTTTAACAACTTACATTCAAAAATAGGATATCTTAGGTATACGATAAGATACACTTTCAAAACTATCTATCATCGTACAAGCTACAAAACCTATCCTGTCTCCGAGAGACAACTCATTTGTGTTTGACATTGAAAAAATAAAAGCTGGTTATTTCAAATGATGTAATGGGGATTTCCCAGCCACAGACAATAACACTGCGGAAGAGGACATGAAAAACAAGAAGGAACACAAAATTTATGATCAGCTGATGGTTGTCATCAGGTTACATTGTTTTTAACATGCATCTATTTGTGTGACTTTCTACACATTCCTACATATATCCTTCATGTAGACATTTTGTTCTTTGATAAAGATGCCATGACTACCTAACACAATGCAGAAAAATGTGAAGAGATTATTGTTGTTGCTATATGGTAAGCCAGTGGATTAATGTGATTACCGTGCATGTTATGATTCTTCTTGTGTCATAAGGACAGATCCTTTGAAATGTTTTCTGCTATACGTCAGAATATTATTCTGTCAACACATTCTTCCTGTTCCATAAAAATGATTAGTTGCCTCAAAAATGTCATTTTCCGTAGCTCCAAAGTATCTTTTTTTGGCTTCTTTACAATTGTTTTTGATGTGAATAGTCTCAAAGTATCTCTAATTACTATTATAAAATGGTTAAAAGTACGCTTATTTTTTTAAAAGAACAACATCAATTATTCTCATTTTTCTTTTAAAAATGGACCAATGAAGGTAAAATCTAAAAAATTAATGTGGACAATGTTCAAAATATGTGATTTTTTTAAAGGACAATTTACACACAAACGAGCATTGGAACATCACCTTCTTATTATATTTTTGACATTGCCATACTTATATTTTCTCTTGGTTTCAAAAAAAGATTTTTGAATAAGTTAGATATTCTTGTTTGTTTAAGAAACACAATATATAATTGTTTTTGCAAGGAAAACAATAATTTTATTAAGCTTACATATCAAACACTTTATCATGCCCTACTCAATGTTATGTGTAAAACTGATGGTTATGCACTTCGTCTTATATCTTATTGAAGATTTCTTTTAAAAATTTAGAAAATATTGACTAAAGCATTCACACAAATGTAATCCAGACAATATACAGGCTGAACTCTGCACATAATGACAACTATAATAACAGTGGGCAAAGTGTCTATCGGGCAGTGGTATAAAAACAAAGGGAAACAACTTCCAACTAGAGTATGAACTAAGACTACCTGCCCCTCAGTTATCAAAAATGTCATGGTCATTACTATAGTCTGCAGACATCTTCTGTTTGTATACTTCCAAATTTTTCGGAAAGATATCTTATTACACACTGCTTCCAGCATCCTCTCCAAATGAAATTATATTTGAGGCTATCAACTCGATTGTTATTTTGATCACTATTGCGATTAACAATATTTCTGATGTGAAATCTGTGATACATTCTTTGTGTTTTTTCAAAGGTTCAATTTGAATTGTACAGTTTAACAAAATGAAATGTCAATGTTTGAATGTAAGGCAGATTATTTGCTTGAAAGAGACTATGTATTGCACATCTTTTGTCAAGTAATATACTGGGACAACAATGACACCTTTAACAAAAACCTAAGTGTAATAAGTACTTGGATGTGAGGAGACATGAACAATCAATTGTGTGTTGCTGAATCAAAGAATTACAAAGTTTAACCCAATGAAATACATCCTGACATTGCTTTCGATACCTTGAGAAAAGCTGCATATTGTGCAGTGTATCAAGATTGTCTGTCTCACAGTCCCTGAACAATATATTTTCCTTTCCGCCTAGTGCTTTCTGTAATCCAAAATCCCTAAATGAAGCTAGTGTAGATTTTCCTCAGGTTCAGGAATCTCCTGACACACTTAGGCTCTTTTTTAATTTAAATGGAGTTGTTTGTTTCTGTCAAAATTATATATTTTCAGAGACTAAGCGTTTGTATTCATATCGAGACAACAATCAAGTTTTGCCTCGGAATGGTTTTCTAATCAATCCATCATCATTAAATATAATTCTTATCAAACATCTACCTCTATTACATCTCTGCCATAAATCCTGTATTTTGGCTTCAATAACAAAATAAAATTTTCAGATTTTCAACAGTCTGTCAATCACACAATTAGTGGTCGCCAACTAGTCTCGTAACTACCCAAGCCATGATGTCACTTTTTTCCTGTTTGTGCTAGAGTCAACACCTATTATAATAGTAACAATCTAGCACTTTGTTGTAAGTCACATTTATCCAAGATTTCCAAATAGTTTTCTATAAATAACAGACATATAAGTAAACATTAATTTTGCTGCTGGAAGTTATAGCACACACGTCAGTATAGCTGGTGCTTGGTGCTCTTTGTGTAGGTCAAAATGCAGTCTCCCTCTAGCCCCGGGTGTAAGAAGTGTGGCTGCTCCATGGTCATGTGCTCCATGGTCATGGGAGATCCTCATGATAGCTGCACGAAGTGCAGGGGCACTACTTGACATAAAGACAAAAGATGCAAGATGTGTGTCAACACAGAAGATAAGATCTTCTCCAAGATGGCCAAGGCTACAACTAAGGCCCAAAAGACGGGAGGCCGCTAAGAAGGTGGAAAACATCACGGCTGAGAAATCAGCCTCCACCTCAGCACCTCCCTTTCCGGATATCCCATCATCTCCTGGACTCTCTTTGAGTCTGATTCACCAATTATTTCAGCAGAAACAGGAGATGGTGAAGAGCATGTTAGAGACAAAACTCTCAGTGCTGGATGAAGAAATGGCAAAAATCAAGGAGATAGCTCTGGAGACCGCAGAGGGGAATGCCATCTGTCCACTCTTCTAACACGGCCATTGGGCCTCCCTCAGATGACCAGCAAGCTGAGCCGTACAGCCTGCCAGCCGACTACCCAGAGCCAATCAACCAGTCAGGTATAAGCCAGCAGGTTTTGTTATACCAGGAAACAATACCCTACAGGAGCCGCGCAGTATCTATGGGTCAGCTGTCCACGGCAACCAAGCCATCCATCCATCCGGACAGACAGCCTAAGACACGGTATGATGGTTACTCGGACCCAATGGGCCTGCCTTTCATGGCAACCAAACCACCTGACAAGCCATCTGACATCACAACCTATATCAGTTACCATAACTTTCAACGGACAATTGAGACTTGTTATAGATGAAGTGAAACAAGAAACTGCAGAACGATTCCAAACTTCATCTATCAACTTAGCTGCTTAAAGCCCACGGATCGTCACAGCCTCAGAAACGTCCCTGGGACTAATCTTCATCTTCCAAACAGCCTCCTAAGAAGAAGTTTGTCCCCTCCAGGAAAGATTCATTCCAACTGAGTCGGGGGTACTACAAGCGACAATCTTCTCAGGATACTTTTCGCCAACCAGACTGCAAGAAACGAGGATACAATCTGACTCCCTTACCAATCCCTCCAACGTCATAGACCCTTTCGACCTGGTTATGTTGATGAACTGAGATTTACGCCTACCGTCTTTCAACATAATGCCAACTCCGGGAACAGTGGGAGGGCACCTTCTGTCATATGCCGAAAATTGGAAGCAAGTTAAGACCGACCACTGGATTCTAGACGTCAAGGCTCATGACCACAAGCTTAATTTAAGGAAACATCCTATCCTCAAGATTTCATCTAGTTGGAGCTAAATTAGCGGCAGCAGATCTGGCCGTCAAAAAGCCACTAAAGAAGCGAGCCATTCGGAGACTAATGAAGACCTACAACACCAAGGGATTTTATTCTCCGTACTTCTTAGTCCCGAAAAAGAATACAACCAAGATGAGGATGATTATTGACCTACAGACCCTCAACAAAAGATATCTGGTACCGTCACCAAAATTCCAGATGGAGTCCATATGGAAGTTAAGGTCGTCGTTAAAGACAGGAGACTGGCTTATCAGCCTAGACCTACAAGATACCCATCTTCACGTCCCGATACACCCATCTCATCAGAAATATCTACGCTTTGCAATCAATGGCCGACGCTACGAATTTCAAGTCATACCACTCAGCATAGCAATTGTCCCCTGGCTATACACCAGGTTTACAGCACCAGTCATCAAGTTTGCTCTTAACCAGCTAGTTCGAATCCATGGTTACCTGGACGATTTCTTGGCGGCAGACCAAGAGAACGCTCAACTACATCAGAACATGATATTCTTGGTCCAACTTATGACCCACCTAGGCTTCCTAGTAGTCAACCCTTCCAAGTCTGAGACTACTCCGGTTCAAGACATATACATCAGAGCAAGATTCCAGCTAGACAGAGGATGTGTATGCCCACCATAGGATTGATCAACAACACTATCAAGATGATTCAATCACTCTCTAGTCAACCCAGCAAAATGCTTAGGTGGTGGATGTCTCTTCTAGGCAACTTGACATCTCTACAGGATATGACCTTCAGAGGGAGAATGATGCTACATCCTCTACAGACATGGATCAACTCTATACGATCTAATGGCCTAGAGTTCCAGACTCAGTTAACATCCAGATTACTATGAGACCATTGATGGAATCATAGAGATCATGTGATGAGCAGCATCCCTCTGACTTATCCGACACCAGAGCACTCATCTATTCACAAATGCATCAGATTCGGGATGGGGAGCCCATATGGATGATTCACAGTACGGGGATCCTTGAACACAGAAGAGAAGAATTAACCTTCATATCAACTGCAGGGAAGTGAAGGCCATCTATTAGCCATCCTGGAATGGAATATACATCTATCCCTATTATCAGTTCTCATAGCCACGGACAATACCATAGTAGTGGCCTATATTCAGAAGCAGGGAGGAACCAGATCCAGCTCCCTGATGACGGAGATGAAACGATTGTTTGCCTTGGCAGACTCCTTAAATTGCCGGATGGAAGCGACACATATACACGGGAAACTGAACATACAGCCTTTCTAGCCGGGGGAGAATAGTGGCAACAAAATAGACCTTGCATCGAAGCCTGGATAACCAAGTTACAGGACACACCACACCTGGATTTGCCACCTGCCAAAACAACCAACTTCCAGTTTATGTCAGTCCGGTTCCTGACCCAAGAGCTCACCAGATAGTCGCACTGTCGATTGATTTGACGTACGTATTCCCAGTATGGTCTCTCCTAGACAAAGTCATACACAAGGTGGAGGAAATGGATTGCGTAATAATACTGATAGTTTCAATATGGCCCAGGAGGGCTTGGTTCCCTAGACTACTAAGACTACTAATGGAGGAACCTATCCAGTTACCACTTTGTTGGGATCTGCTACGACAACCCAAGTCCAGCATTTGCCACAACAATCTGCCCAGCCTACATCTAACTGCCTGGAAGTTATCACGCAGAAGATGTAAACATCCGGATACTCTGTACTTGCCTTAGAAGCTGTGACAAGATCGTGGAGACCTTCATTCTCCCTTATATATGACAACAGATGGGACAAGTTTGTCAAGTGGAGAAGACGACTAGAGATTTTAACTAATGCTATATCAATCACTATGGTAGCGGATTTTCTTTTTCATCTACGTCAAGACAACAAATTCCGACACAAGATGATAGAAGGTTACAGATCCCCATTGTTCTGTACTTCAACATAACGGATTATCATTTGGAAACCATCCCATTTTCAACAGACAAATGAGATCCAACACCAGCTGCATCAGAGGGTGATTACACCCTTGATTATTCTGTCTATTAGATTTAGGATGGATTAGAAGCACCTTTAATATTAACTATCACCATTTGACCGGAAGTGACGTCATTATCAGAAGTAAGAAAATAACCGGAAGTGATGTCAGCACCGAAAATAGCAGAACAGTGTCCTTGTTACCAGGAAATGACGTCTTTGGGTAGAAATAGACCTAGAGAGATGTCATTACCAAAAAAGGGGATGTGATACCGGAAGTGACATCAGAACTGGAAGTGACGTAATCGCTGGTATTAAAGTCACAAATCCAAGTTTATTACAATCAAATATAATGGTTTCCAGAAGAGGATTGCTGTCAATTACACATGGAGAGGCAGATCCCACCGCGTCCCTCTGGTATATTCTGGCAGAGATGTAATAGAGATAGAAGTTTTGTAAGAATTATCGAACAATAGTTATTGTTAATAATTCTAAGAATACTACCTCTATTACCTCTAGTAGTAGATGAGGGAAAAAAGATATGTTGCCACCATTAGGACGTCATGGCTTGGGTAGTTACGAGACTACATCACGACAATTAATTGTGTGATTGACAGTGAAGAGGACGTCTGATTGAAGCCAAACTACAAGATTTATGGCAGAGATGTAATAGAGGTATTATTCTTAAATTTATTAACAATGATAACTATTGTTCGATATCTATGGCATGGTATATCTCTATCTTGAATTGACAATAGAAAAAAAAAAACTTTATAAAAATAAACTGTCGACATGTGTGGAGCTATTTTAAGATTAATGACATTCTTACAATATATAGATTATAGTTTTGAAAAAAGGCTTCAATGTAGTACGGTTTCCTTGCAATATGTTTACGATAATTTTAGCCCTAAGATCATTTCGAACATCTAGACCCTGAGGTGTCATAAGGTAAGGAAAGAAAGAGAATATTCTTGACGTAGGTTAGTGCAGAAATAAAGTCAATTTGTACTATTTGAGTGTTGCCGTATGAATGTTTACATTGAGATGTCAGTTGGTCGGATGCGGTAATACACTTGCCTCATCCAGCATTGTTAATGTAGTTGCCAGCTTCACCAGTTGATGTGTTGTGTAGTAAGCTTTATATTATATGTCATAAGTATGTGTATGTCAATGTTTGACATGTGTATGGTAGTCTAACGCTGCATTCTCCGTATTGCTTTCTTATTGATAAACTGATAATGCACCAGCGTGCAGAGGTGGGATAAGTACTAATGATGTATTCCAGTGTCTTAATTTCTCAAGATCCTGAAGCTTATGGTGTAGCTTTAAAAGAGTTCACATACATTTAACCTTAATAATGTTTTAATTGATCTCTTCAGTGTTTATTGTGTTTTGATAGGTTGTTTACTATCAATTTATTAGATTCCGCCATGCTGCCGTAAGTGCTATGATGGGTGGGAGGAAGATGCGACCTATAGCAGCTCCACGCCACCCTAAACTGGCAGATGTTGTGACGAAAGTTAAAACACTGAATGATGCGGTCAAACAAGGCAAGGCCCCAGAAGGTGACTATTGTGTCAATCATTCAATGTGCCTACCAGTATTCATGATGTTTGTAAAGTTATTTAAATATTCAGGGATTTTCCTCAAAACAAATGGCATTAGGACATTTTCATGATTTTATAAAGTTTAATAGGACCTTGTTATATGTCATTACCAAATTTGAATAATATCTTTAGGACATTTTTGGTATACAGTCAATGTCCTAGGAAATGGACCATTCTGAAACCCTTAAGAGGTATGATTATTAAGTCAAACAAAAGATTGCATTTGTATGATGGGAAACACTTAAGGAGGCAATATAATTTCAGTAAACTGTCCTATACTTCAACTTGAAGATCGTTGATGTAACCAGGCCATGTATACATTTGCTGTAGGAGAGCTAGCAGGGAAGTTCACATTTGCATCAGACAGATACGCTGTCCTGGAGAGTGCCGGCAATCTGGAGATTGATGTTTTGTTTCACAGGCAGATCCCGTATGTACATACAAAATAATTCTTGGAATTGCTTTTTATACAGTTCTATGAAAATAGTGTTTGAAGTTAAACACACAATTCAAATGGTCCTTATATCGTTAATGTTAAAAATTGAGGAGTACCTTAGTACCTTAAGGCTACAGAAAACAGATATGAACTTTTCGGATATACTGGTATCTCAGCAAAAGTACCCTGAATTCTGCTTTTACCCAGACAAGTGTTTTTTTGGGTTTTTTCGTGGATTTTAAGTGTCTGTTGAGACGCTACACAAAAGAGGAGGCTGAGATCAGTTACAAGGAGTGAAATAGAAATAGGAAGTTTGCTTCTTTTATGTATGCTTCTTCTTGTATATAATTCTTACGAATCCTCTACCGCTATTACATCATTGCCAGAAATCCTGTATTTTGGCTGCAGTCACACCATACTTAAACTTTCAGATTTCAGCTGGGGTCCTCTTCACTGTCAAGTATACAACATTAGTTGTCCCAAAAATAGCACTGGCAGCTCACATCTTTCAATTCTTTCTGTGTGTGCTACAGTCAACACGTCACTATAAAAGTAAATGATCTCTCTAACACTTAGCTGTGGCCATATTCGTTTGCTATACTTCAGTATTTTGTTATACTGTATTAGCTCTTTCAACACCAGTCAACCAGAAGTGTTTACTGCTGGGACACCGAGTTCCCAGAGACTCTTGTGTGATAGATGAAGCCAACATTTATCAAAGAAATATCTGCTTGTAAAATATATTTGCTACTACATGTTATACACCATTTGAAAGGTCTGATCCTAGTGTTTCTAAATATGAAAGTTATGTTTTTCACATTATTCAAAATAATGCATTTACAATTTAGATAAGTTTGTTGTAAATAAAAAATGTAAGATAACACGTTGTTAACATCCAGGTTAACTCTTTCAACACCGTAGGCCGGTTATCCGGCCAAGAAGCATCGAGTCCCGAGACACCATAGGCCGGTTATCGGGCCAAACCGTAGTCACGTCAAAATAGTATATATTTTTAAGGCCCTGTAAAATCACTCATTTATTAAATCTATCACATTTCACAATGTATGAAATACATATTCCATTTCAATTTATCATTTTTTATCGATAAATTACAAAATTATTCACTATTTCCCGCAATGTTATTGAAAATAAAATTCTCGGACACACATTTCGACAACGGGTCCACATCAAACATGTCAAAGAGGAAAATAAAGACGTTTTAGACAATTTTTTAAATATATTATACAAAGTAATAAATAAAATCAACAAAAAATATATCTAAAAGTAATCAAACTTACATCTAAGTTATTATTTCCATCTTTTCGTGCGATCGCGTGTAATGTAGGACAAATGACATCTCGGCTTTCGTCGCCTTGAATTCTCGGCTCGGACACGATGTTTAATGCAAAAATATATGCATGAAAAATCTTTGTCACGGCTCGTAACCTGGCACGATACATTCACTAAGTTCCATATTTTTAATATATATCGTGATTTCCTGCTCAAAACGTTCAGATTAACACGATTTAACAAAAATCTTTCGCCAACTTCTGTAATTTATCATACACGAGCTTGGTATCACAGCTGTAATTTGATTGGCTGCCTTAGGTCACATGCTCAAAATTGACCAATCACGAAACTTGTAGCAGATTTCGGCAAGGAAGCGTCGTTAGAAACCAATTTTAATCCAATGAAATCGCTTGTTATAACTACGAAAAAAAACCAGGTGATGTTGCGAGCGTGTAGATAAGGAATAAGCTTTCCAGCAATGTGTCATATGCCATTCTTCGACGAATTCATACGAAACCTCGAAAACGGGGGTATTTCTTCATTTTACTGAGCGGACAGTCGCTGTTATCGGGAAATGGGTGATGACAGAAACTATTTATAATTCTTTTTAAAATGATTTTCCAATTACGTAAACAATGAAAATAAAACAGAAATAGGTACGTGGATATTATGAAATCATATATTTGCCGAAAATCGTCAAGACTTCACTTCCTTGGTCCTTAATCTGGATGTTAACAATGTGTTAGCGTACTTTTTTTAGTTACAACGAATTTAACTAAGTTGTAAATCCATTTTTTTAAATAATGTGAAAAACATAACTTTCATATTTATGAACCATAGGATCAGACCTTTCAAATGGTGTATAACATGTAGTAGCAAATATATTTTACAAGCAGGAATTTTCTTTGATAAATGTTCATCTATCACACAAGAGTCTCTGGGAACTCGGTGTCCCAGCAGTAAACACTTCTGGTTGACTGGTGTTGAAAGAGTTAAGGACCAAGGAAGCGAAAACTTGACGATTTTCGGCAACTATAAGATTTTTTGTTGTTGCACATCCGAACACGTGATTGAGTTCCACACTTGCAAGCATTAGATCTTCTCAAGCTTCATAGACTACAAGCAGAGCAGTTCTACAAGCAGAACTGGGGTATAGAAGATCGGAGTCTCTAGTAAGTAATTAGTTAAGAAAAGTGTTGTGGGATGAGACACCTGTCTGTTCGGGCTGTGGACAACACCAAGCTCCTGGTGATCCTCACCCTAGATGTCTCGCATGCAAGAAAAGCAGCTGTACACAGAAGTCAAGGTGCAGCGATTGCGAGCATCTGTCAAAAGAAAAATTTGACAAGCTCTCCAAGGCATGGATCAATAATCCCGATTATAAAAAGGTCACTAGAGCATCAACATCAAGAAAACAAGTGATTAAGCCCTTGGCGGCCAAAATTAATCACGAGGGTGACAAGCGAGTGTCGCGAGAGGGCGCCGTCTCACCTTATGAGGTGAAGAGACCCCGTCGCTCATCCCACTCTCCCAATAAAGTTGAGGAGCAGATGCATTTTACCGGTCAAAAAGAAAGTGCCTCTAACTTGCATCAGGCAACGTCTGGTACGGTCGATCATCGAGTTTGGCCAGAAACTAACGATTTTCACCCTCTGCCGCGTTCCCCCTTTAACTTAAATGAGTTCACGGAAAGAATAACAAATTCAATGTCTGTTATGATTGACACACGCATGCAATCTATGTCTCGAGATATCTCAAATCTAAAAGAGTCAGTTAATCAAACCCGGCTTGGCCAATCAGGGATTGATTATGAGAGTAAACACAGATCTAAGGCTGAATATGACAGTACCCCCTCATACAGCAGACAAGGTTACGCTGAATAAGACTATGAGGACAGTAGGAGAATTATACTAAGAGACTGAGAATCTCATAGATCTTCTCCCTACCATGCACACCACAGGGCACATCGTGAATCACGGGCTTCACATCGCAGTATGCACAGAAATACGCACCAATCGCCCTCAAGCCACTATGATAGACAAACTGACAGAGCTCGTGCATATCAGGATAGTAATCCTAAGCGTGCGCCATCTCATACTGTCACACAGTCCAGTTATTCGGGCGAAGAAAGCGGGGGTAATATGACATCACCATACAGTTATAGATCATGTGATTCCCGCACAGCTTGCCGTAAATCAGACGACCGGGATTAAGATACCCTCAGCCACACGACCCACTCCCAGCACAGCCAGAGTAGGGGGTGCCGATCTACAGCTAACACTGATTATTCATGCTATGGGGACACTACTATGGAGGATGATTATAGACCAAACAATTACTCTCTTAGAGATATCATAGCAGAACTTTATGAGCTAATGCCCTCCTTAAAGCCAGATCAGGACAGTACGCCCGTTAAACCCTTGATTGAACGTGCAGGGTATGAGGGACCCGTCAGGGGGACTGAACAATTCCATACCCTTCCCGGCCGTCATATATGGGCGACGTCATCAAGAAAACTGAAAATCAATTGAATTTTGCAGCAGGAACTAGTGCTAGACTGAGGCCTATTTATAATAAGTCTGCTTACTACAAGACACACGATGATCCCTTCGCACTACAGCCTAGCATTGACGAAGATTACTTCGATCTGGTTAAGAAACCTAACCCCAATATGCGCATTGATATGGCCAAGATCAAGAACTTAGATAAAGTCAACAAACACATGATTAATATCAGTTCTTACATTAACTGGTTAGCAGCTGGTATTCGCCATGTCATAGCCTCGTACAACCAGAGCGATGATCCGCCTTTAGACGCTCCCACGGAGATGACTAGTCAGAAGACGGAATTCATCCACAGCTCACTAGACCATATACTAAAGATGCAGGAAGACCTTCAATCAGCACAGGTCTGGATGTCAGCACAGTTCCTACTCATGCAAAGAAGACACTTACTACAGCAAGTTCATCATGTGATGCCGGACCCATTAAAGAGATCCATGATGTCACAGCCCATTACGTCATCGCAGATATTCAACGGTAGACTGAAGTCGGTAAAGGAAGCCATTATGTCGTCAACTAACCAGAAGTTTCAGGAATCCACCATCTCGTTAGCATCCAAGTTACAGAGACAACCAGCAGTTACTCAGCACCAACAACAGAATCCTAGACCCCGGCGTGAACAGTCCTACCGGGATTCTTTCCGAGCCTCTACACAGAGAAACAGATCGTATCAACCTAAGTACAGGAACCACAAAGTTGATCTTCCCACTTCGCAGAGAGGACTTGGCAGAGGAAGAGGCAGGTCCCGTAGGGGTCCCCTCCGAAAATGACTCAACCGTGAATCTACAGACCCGTCCAGATCCTACCGACTTCGCCTGCCCTATGGACAACGATTTAGAATTACAGAAGACCAAGGACACGACTACACCGAATCCAGTCGAACTAGCCAATCTCACAGACATCGACCCAAGACTACCCAAGTTCAGATCTCACCCTATTCCGGGACCAGTCGGAGGACGTCTTATGCAGTACGCAGACAACTGGAAGACCATCACAGACGACTCATGGTTACTCGAAGTAGTAAGAAGAGGCTACAAACTTCACTTCTTAAAACGACCAAAACTAGCCATCCATCCTACCGGACCCCGATTCCAGCTATCAGGACCAAAGTTAATTGCAGCAGAAGTGGCCATACAAAAACTA